CTCTTGAGCACTAAGGCTCTGCAGGAGCAGCTGACCGGTCAGTGGGGCTCACCCCCCACTCCCACTCAATTCAAACAGCAGATCCACTGTGCCTTTGCAACAATATCCTCATCTCCTACCACTTTGTACGATGTGCCCCTTTAATGCAGCCACAATGGACAACAGCTTTGTATATCTCCATACATACTGTAGCCCTCCTACAGACAGACGTTTAACATTAAAAAGTGTGCCAATATAATTGGAACATACACACGAATCAGGAGCTAGAGCAGGCCATTCAGCCCTCAAGACTGCTCTGCCATTGGTCAAGATTGTTATGTCAGATCTAAATTCTTGCTCACCCTAATAACCTTTGACTCTCTGGTTCGTCAAGAAACTTATCTGTCTCTGCCTTGAAAATATTCAATGATCTCCTGCTTGGACAGGGCAGTGTCAATATATACAAGAAGAGGGGTCCCAAGGCTGTGCCAATATTTACATGGGAAGAGAGTATCCCACACAAAAGATTGAAAATACATAGGCTCACAGGGTTGGTGCATCCTCTGATAATGCAGATTCTTCAGGTCACTGTCCAGACTCTTGTACTATTCAGAGACCAGCTAGGAATTCTCCAAAGTTCTACTGTACCAGTGTTGCCAGATTTGTACCACAGACAAAGAAAAAAACTGCCCCAATGTCAAATCCTGCATCTTCCCAGGAGCAAAGTTGCCTTTGAGTCAACAGCACATGACCCATTCTTATTGCTGTCACTGGCTCCGTAACACAAGCAAATTCTAAGGACGACATCCCTACCTCAGTGCACAACAATTAACTGCATGTTCATCAATGTTCGTGGTGAGTTTGTCTACCAAACAAAAGTCAGCTGTGTTTCAGTCAGACAGGACTGAGCCAAAAAGGTTATCAGATCAAGCCTGACACTTGCTGAGACAAAAGCGAAATACAGCAAATGCTGGAAATCTGAAACAGAGAAAACAGAATGTGTGAAACTTTCAGGAGGTCAGGAGAGGAAATGAGAGTGAACATTTCAAGTCGGTGGCCTTTCAGCAGAACTGAAGGAAAGTTGGAAATGCCACCATTTGTATTAGATGTTAAACTAAGCTCCCATCTCAGCCAATATCCTCTCAACCATCAATTCTAAGAAGAGTGTGGGATATTTACCTCTTAACCAACAACACTGAAAAAATAACACAGCTCATTATTACATTGTGATCTTGTGAGGACTTTCCGAGAGCAAATTGGCTGCCATATTTCCTCTGTAAACACAGTGACTGATAAGATCACTTGCTGTCATATAAACATACAAAATTATGACGGGAATAGATAAGATAGATGCAGGGAGGTAGTTTCAACTAGGGGGGGCATAGCCTCAAAACAGGAGGGACCAGATTTAGGACTGAATGGAGGAGGAACTTCTTCACCCAAAGGGTTGTGAACCTGTGGAATTCCCTGCCCAGTGAAGCAGTTGAGGCTTCCTCATTGAATGTTTTTAAGGCAAAGATAGATAGATTTTTGAATGGGTTGGTAAGTGGAGCTGAGTCCATGAAAAGACCAGCTATGATCTTATTGAATGGCGGAGCGAGCTCGAGGGGCCAACTGGCCTACTCCTGCTTCTGTTTTTTATGTTCTTATGTCACCATGATGTGACGTGGTGTTGTACATGTTACCCACATAACAGACAATCAGGTACTTATTGAGGCAGATGACTAGAAGTTCATTAGCAACTAACTATGTATGACATCTTATACTTGTATATAGATTCTAGGCAAAATGCTTACTTGTTTTATTAATATATTACATTCATAGTTCACCGGCTCACTAAGCAACTGATCAACTGACTGCTTGCTAACTGTTGATTCAATGTAGAGAGTAAGATGGAGACCTCTTGCACTACAGCATCATGCACTATGAAGTCATCTAGCTCTCTTAAGAATACAGTGCCTTTCTGAGTTCTGTGTAATAATACAACAGTTACTACACCTCAATAGTACTTTTCTAAATTGATTCATGGGATGTGGGTGTCACTAGTTGGGCCAGCAGTTATTATCCATCCTTAGTTGCCCTTGAGAAGGTGGTGGTGAGCTGCCTCCTAACAGCTCTAGCCCATACATTGTAGGTAGACCCACGACATCATTAGGGAGAGAATTTCACGGTTTTGACCCAGACACACTGCAGGAATGTGCAAGTCAGGATGGTCAGTGGCTTGGAGGGCAACTTGTTTGTCCTGGTGTTCCCATGTATCAGCTGCCCTTGTCTTTGTGGATGGAAGTGGTCGTGGATTTGGAAGATGTTGTCTAGGGAGCCTTGGTGAATTTCTGTAGTGCATTTTGAAGAATGATACACACTGTTACTACTAAACGTCGATGGTGGAGAGAGTGGATGCTTGTGGATTTGGTGCCAATCAAGTGGGCTGCTTTTTCCTGGATGGTGTCAAGCATCTTGGAGCTGCAGCCATCCGGGCAAATGGAGTTTTGGCTTCATTGGCTATAAGAAGATTAGAAGGTCCTGGAGTTATAACAGGAATTGAAAAGACAGCAAAAAACATAAGGTGTGACCAATAATGCTAATCTGCAATTCAGAGAAACTCCTTTATTCAAAGAGTATTAACAATGTAGAACTTGCCTACCACAAGGAGTTGTTTGAGTTGAACACAGAGAGAAAAAACACAGTAAAACTTAGAACTGATAATACTTGTCCAAACAAAAGTTTAATTTTGAGGCTAACATGAAGAATTTAAAACCTGCATAGAGTAGGGATACATTTAAGGAGAAGTGAGATAGGTACATGTAGGATGAAGGAAGAAATGGATCCAAATTGGCCTTCTGTCAGACTATAATACAATGATGCTATGATTATATCGATGGGGTTAGATAGAGATGGATGGGCAGAGGCTCATTTGGAGTATGAAGACTATTTACAAGCGTGAATGGCCTGTTTTTCTGCTGTAGGAAGGTCTTTGAGAGAGAGTACACGTGTGTGTGTGAGACCGTGTGAGAGAGAGAATGTGTTTGTGTGTGTCTGTGTGTGTGAGACAGACAGAGAAAGAGAGAGAGAGACAGAGTTTCTATGTATGTGAGGGAGAGAGAGAGAATGTGTGTGAGAGAGAAACTGTGTGTGAGAGAGAGAGAATGTGTGCGTTTGTATGAAACAGAGACAGTGTGCGTGTGAGAGAGGGAGGAAAAGTATGTGTGTGTGTGTGTGTGTATGTGTGAGAAAGAGCGTGTGCATGTGTGAATGTGAGAGAGAGAATGTGTGTGTATGTATGTAATGCATGTCTGTGTGTGAGTGCGCATTTGTTTGTTGCAGGGGTGTGTGTGTGGTTTTTTTAATTCATTCACAGGATGTAGGCATTGTTGAATAGGCCAGCATTTATTGCCCATCCCTAAATGCCCAGAAGGCAAGCTGAGAGTCAACCACATTGCTTTGGGTCTGGAGTCACATGTAGACCAGACCAGGCAAGGATGGCAGTTTCCTTCCCTAATAGACATTAGTGAGCCAGATGGGATTTTCCAACAATCGACAATGATTTCATGGTTGTCATGAGACTCTTCATTCCAGATTTTTAATTGAACTTAATTCAAATTCCACTATCTGCCGTGACAGGATTCGAACCTGGGTCCCCAGAACATTATCTGGATCTCTGGATTAACAGTCCAGCACCTCCCCGAGAGACAGAGAGAAAGGGGGGGGAGAGAGCAAGAGAGAGAGAGAGGGAGAGAGGGCAAGGGTAAGGGGGAGAGAGAGAGGGGGCAAGGATGAGGGAGAGAGAGTGAAAGAGAGAGACAGGAAGAAAGGGGGGGGGGGGGGGGGGGGGGGGGGGAGAGAGGTGGGGGAGAAGGAGAGAGAGAGAGAGGGAGAGAGAGAGGGGGGGAGAGAAAGAGAGAGACTCTCCCCACCTAAGAGAGAGACGGGGGCAAGAAAGGTACAGCAATCAAATGAAGAACAAATTCCAGTACTTAGCATGTGTGGTGTGGGCCAGTGCCAACTTAGTTCAGCTGGTGGCACGTTCACACTCACACATGTTCTAAACTCCCTGCTCTGGAATCTGCCATCCCAGTTTAACAATGAGGGAATGTTGACTCATCATAAGTGCCATCCTTCTAAGCAGATGGTAAACTGAATGCTGGTTATGCCCACAGCACTAATGGAAGAAGAGAAGGCAATGATCCTGGACAGCATTCCTTTCCTCTGGCAATAGTGTGGCTCGTTATTATCTGGTACTTTGCAATACTATAAAGCATATTAAAAATCATTATATTATAGATGTCGGTTGTGGCTCAGTTGCTAGTCCTCTTACCTCTAAACCTGACCATTGTGGGTTCAAGTCCCACTCTAGGACATAGAACTCAAAATCTAGAGTGATATTGAGAAGTACTGTCTTTTGAGTGATACATTAAACCAACGTTCATTGAGCTCTCTCACATTAAAGTGAAAAAAAAATCTACAATACTTTTCAGTGTTCTGGGATATTATTGCCAGTGTCCTGATCAACATTTATCTCACAGGGAACATTGCTAAAATAGATTATCTTGTCATTAACATGCTGTTGTCTGTGGGAATTTGATGGGTAGCTGCTAAAATTCTTACATTTCAGTATGGAGCATACTTATAAAAGGGACTTAAGTCTGAAGTCACAAAAGGCACGACATAAATATCAGTCTTTCTTTGCTCGATCTACCAAGCTCCTCCCACCAACACACACTCAAAGGGATCCAGAATAATAGGAAAAGCAAAACCTTGCTTACATCTGTTTCAGAGATAGTAGGTACTGCAGATGCTGGAGAATCTGAGATAACAAGGTTATCTCAGAAACTTTCTGAAGAAGGGTCTAGACCCGAAACGTCAGCTATCCTGCTCCTCTGATGCTGCTTGGCCTGCTGTGTTCATCCAGCTCTGCACCTTGTTATCCTTGCTTACATCTGGTTGCCATTATATTATTGGACAAATGTAGAAGCGGTAAGCCTTGGATGTTCTTTGATATTCCCTGCACACAGTAGGGAGATGCTGTCCATTTAGCAAAACTCTGGAAAGACCTTTTATCAGATACATATGGTGTGGTCACGCTGCATCCACAGACTCAGGCAAAGAAAGACCCAGTTGACTGTGTGGTGCGGGAATTTGCCCACTGTGCACTGACTTATCTCTCTGTGGGTCACCACACTCAGCAAAGCCTAGCTTTCATCTCAATGGATTATTTAATAACACAACTCAGAAAACCACATAATTTCATAGTAGTTTATCTTTTGTGGTGCGTTCTGTTCCTTTGTCCTTCTCCCCCTTACTCTGATTTATTATCCATGTGTTCCCCTATATCACACACCATTCTGGGGCTGTTGGAGAATTTGGCCAGGATTCCATCAAGAGCTCCACTGATGACTAAATGCAGTGCAAAGCACAACCACCCTGACTTGGGTCAGAATACTTCTGTTTCAATTACTGCTCCCTTACACTGTTACAAAACAGCACTATTGAGGAAATTCAATAAGGATCCTGGCCAAGAAATGGAAGGTTGAATATATTCCAAGAAACTGTGACACATGGCCTCCCATCTCCGACTGCCTTCCCCAAGCTCCTTCCGTTGGCTATCAGACACATCTCCTTATCTGCACCAATTGGAAAGCAAACAAATCTCTTGAATCACCTGATTGGATGAATTTGGGTGGATAGTCTAAAATATCCTTCTGCTCATCTCCAATGTTTGCATAATTAATAAACAAAAGTGGTCAAAGAAAATGAAGAAGATAATGTTTTCTTTCAAAAGATTCTATATGTAAATTGCTCACAACAGAGCCCTGGAGATTAGTGTTTAACTCACGGTGACACTAAATGATCCTGGTGAACTGACAAGCTTTTGACTAAGGGGAAGAAAGCTAACAAAGCAGACATCTCCTGTAGCTAGCCCTTTGCATGCACATGGTAGCCCGCTTATATAGTATGGATAGAACTGGGCTGACCCACAGATTCCACAGGCACTATCATGAAGCACAGTCACTTGTGCCCTTGTACCCCAGCTGGGGCAAAACTGGCATAGATTTGGCCAGTGCCAGTACTGCTGTACTTAGGTTGGGCAATGAGGCCTTTAGCTCTTGGGCTGGGAAGATCAAGTAGCTCTGAAGTACATGTTGAAGCGGTCAGGGGAGTCAGAGGTTGTTAGAGGAGGGCAGAGTATGAAGGTGGGGCTGAGGAAGGAGACAGATCGAAGGGTACTGGAAATGTAACTTGTTGGGCCTGAAGAAGACACTTCAGCTCCCCTTAACCCACAAGCAGTGCTGCAAAGGCATCTACCTCGTGAATTCAACTTTTCATGCCATCTTTCAATGTCCAGCTAATATTGATCGTCTGTCCCTCCCATCAAACACCCAGCAATTAGTCAGCAGGGGGAGAGCAGTAACAACCAGAGCATGAGATGTCCAAGCAACAGGAGTAAACCATTCAGCCCCTCAAGAGAGGTCTGCCATTCACAGAGTTCTTCATTGAATTGTATCTTAACTCCATTTACTTGCCTTAGTTTCATATCCCTTATTTCTCTTACACTACAAACAAAAACTCTACAAATCTCAGTTTTGAAATTTCTAATTACCCCTGAGTTTCAACAGTATTTGGAGCAGAGAGTTCCAACTTCCATTCCTCTTTGTGTGAAGCTCTCTGCTATCATCCCTAACTCTCCTAGTTTTATGGTAGGTAATGCTCCTTGTACTGAGCTCCCCCACTAGTGAGGATAGCTTCTCTCTGTCAGCTCTGCCATTTTTTTTATCATTTTCAAAAACCCAGTTAGATCTTAATCTTCTATTTACGAGCAATAAAAGATGAGGTTATGCAATCTGTCCTTATAATGTAACTCTTTTGACCTGGTAGCATTCTGATAGTTCTGTACTGCATCCACTCCTAGCTCATTATTTCCTTCCTAGTTTGCACAGAACTCCAGATGGGGTCTGGACGGAGATTATGTAACTCTGGAACTTTTATCGCTTGCTATCAGAGCGGCCTTGATACAAATCAGCCAATTCACAGTAAACTACCCTAAATACCAATGCATCTTAGGTTTGAGACCTTCCTGTATGCATTTGCTTAGGAATGGCCAGCTGAAGGCCCATACCCAGCTATAATGTGCTGCGAGTCTGGCAATATTCATTGCTAGATTGCTAATAACAGGACATCTTCTGCAGGCGAGGACAGAATTCGTCCCTTTTAAAAATAATATCAGAAAGTATAAATAGTTTTGTCCCACACACATAATGAAGCATCAGTGTGCTGCAGGTAAATCAAATTAATTTATGTCGAATCATATCTCACAAAAGTGACCGTTCCATAGGGATTGTGGGGAATGCAATCAAAAGTCAATCACAAACCGAAATGACAGTCTGCCAGTGAATCAAATGTACCTGCTATAAAGGAGGAAGGAACTGCACTAAGAGTACATGCCTTAGCATGTCAACTGCAGCTCAACGGTAGCACTCCTGGCTCTGAGTCAACAGATTATGAGCTCAAGTCCCACCCCCAGAGGTATTAGAAAGAAGACAGTCCAGTTTAGAAATGGAGAGGGGCATTCTATGGTTAGAGTGGCTGTTTTTTTTTGGCAATTTAGGTATTAACCTGAGGAGGGCAGCTACCCCTGGTGGTCTCAACCAATGTTTCTCCCCAAACCAAGGTCCTGAAAACAAATTAATCTGCTCATTTACGTCTTCACAACTTGTGGGATCTTGCTGTGTGCAGTTTAGTTGCCATGTGTCCTGCAGTACTTTAGTGACCTCACTTCATTGATTGTTAAGCACTTTAGGAGCTGGGAATAGACGCTAAATAACTGCAGACCTTTCACTATCATTTTCAAAATAGGGAAGACTGTTACAATCATGACATTAGCAGCTTCCTTTAAATAGCAGATATAAAATAAACCTTCCTTGGGAAATAATATGCTGAGTTGCAGAGATGGACTTTTGTGGAAAGTCCAAAAGGAGAAGGTGATAAGTAAGTGGAGAGGTTTAGAGGGGGATTTCCAGAACTTATAATCAAAATCGGTGCTGGTACAACTGCTAGTGGAAGCTGTCAAAGGATGAGAGGGTGCAGAGGTAGAGAGGATCAGGAACAGTACTGTAGATTGTCAGGCCTACATGGTTGAAGGCACAGCATGATGGGATGAAAGAAGAGATGGACATAGCAGTGCAATGAAGAGTTTGAGGTGGAAATGGCTGAAGTTGATTATAGGGATAGGCAGCGGCAAAACTACGAAGAGATTTCAACATGAGGAAGAGGAGGTGTTGGTCAGCCAAGTACCAGTACTCCATGCTTAAGTATGTCCCAGAGTGTCTTTAAGACAGAGGTAGATAGGTTCTTGATTGGTTAGGGGGTCAACATTTAAAGGAAGAAGGCAGGAGAATCGGGTTGAGAAAAATATCAGCCATGATCAAATGATGGAGAAATCTCTAATGGTGAAATGACCCAATTCTGCGCCTATATCTTCTCATCTTATGTGAGTCTGTTCGCTGTTGATGCTTGGTGTTGTACTTGGTTGTTTAAACCTGGTTGTGGATTCCAAGAAAACTAAGCTGCAGAATCGGCTGAAAACCAGAGTTGAGGTATAGAGCAGATATTTTAAGATACTAAATAAAATCTACTACATTCTTCAAAAATAATGTGTTCTCTGCACTGGTCACACACCATTGTTGTGCTTGGGGTGTAGGAGGGAGTTACACAGCCTTCATCCAATGACAATGAAGGAACAGTGTATATTTCCAAGTCAGGAGTGCCTTGGAGGCAGACTTACGGGTGGGGGTGTTCCCATACATCTGCTGCCCTTGTCTGTCTAGATAGTAGTGGTCATGGGTTTGGAAAATGCTGTTGAATAAAACTTGACACTTTGCTGCAGTGCATTTTGGACATGGTATATACTGCTGTTACCACTGGGCCTGGTAGAGGGAGTGAAGGCTTGAGGTTGGAGGACAGGGTGCCAATATCTGGGCTGCTTTGTGTTGAGATTCTCAACTGTTGTTGGAGCTGCACTCATCCAGGCAAGTGGAGCATGTATGCTATCACACTCCTGACTTGCGTCTTGTGGACAGGCTTTGGGGAATCAGGAGGTGAGTTACTCCCCACAGTATTCCTAATCTGACCTGTCCTTGTGGTCACTGTATTTATATGGCTGGTCCAGTTCAGTTTCTGGTCAGTGGTTACCCCCAGGATGTTGATAGCGCTGAGTGGAAGTAGGTGGACTTTGAACACAGGGGTCAGAGGTCAGAAGTTCAGACCTGAGTCAAATAGAGGCAGAAACTCTCAGCTCATTTTATAGGGAACCTGGAATTGCACCTGAAGTGGTGTAATCTGCAGGGCTGTGGACCAGAGGTTGGAAAGTGGGATTAGAATAGGCAGCTAGAATGTTTTTTTCGGCTGGCTGTAATTTTTCAATGGTTTTTAATAGCTGGCAGAATTTAGAATACACACTTCCCAAAAAGTGGGGAAGAAAAACTCTAGTAATGCGGTGTCACAGATGATGAAACATGTGTTTACAACAAGCTCAGACTGTAAGTCGGGTACGAACTGGTTCCTGTAACTGGCTAGAATTGGTAAACAATTTTCATCAGCTTCTAGGACTCAGCGGTGACCTCAGAAATCACCTCAAATCACAGCGCAGACATCCATAGCCCTCTGACAGAAGAGCAGTATACGCAGGAACAGGTAAGGGAGCAGAGAGATAACAAGACACCAGAGCGGTGAGAGACAGAGCTTCTTTATTACAGTCCCCTGGCTCCCAGCTTTCACTTCAGCCTAGACTCTGACTGGGAAACTGCTGAGAGATGTTGTTAGGTCCAAGTTACTACTGAGAGCGAGATAATAACAACAAAAGCAAAATTTTGTTGTTTTGTTTGATAATATCCGAGGGAGCAATGTTTCACAAAGAGAGGGAGGGGAGGGAAGTGATACCTGGAGATTTAATGTTACTGTTCACACCGGTAGATAGAGACAGAGTCTGAGCGCTAGTGCGGAGTGAGATAAAATACGAGGGTAGCACAGCGCTACTGGATGAATATTACGCTGGACACTGGGAATTGCAACAGATGGTATACAATGTTTACACTATTGAAGAGTTACATTGGATACAGAGTAACAGCAGAGTTATACATCGGAGGGGGATTAAGCAGCATAGACACAATGTAGCACCGACAGCCATACACTGACAATCACGCGGCGCAGCAAATCACAACAGGTCGTGTAGAAGTTGCGCTGGAAAGAAGCCACAATAAAAGAGGGTGGTATGAAACAGGGCAACATGCCTATAACTCAAACACAAGGTTACATTTGCAGAGACAGCAATAGAGAGCGTCAAAAGGAAACTGGGTTGAAGACAGTGCAGAATGAGCCAGAGTTTATGAGGGGCAGTTAGTTACACTGGAGATACCCGATCCAGTGGAACGCTGAGGGCTGAATGGCGTATGCCGCCTCCAGCGCCTAAAGGTCAATGAGATCTTCCCACTTGGCGCAATGCAGAACCAAAACAGCCCTAGTATCGAGACATTCTCTCTACCGCAGAAACGTCAGCC